AGCCAGTCGAACATATGCCTTCTTCTCTCCATCAGGCCTGATTAGGGTATTGACCTTGGCAACATCGATGTCATAGAGCTTCTTTACAGCTTGTTTGATTTGGTGCTTATTGGCTTTGACATCCACAATGAACACGAGTGTGTTGTTGTCCTCAGTCTTCTTCATGGCTGACTCTGTGGTCAGGGGGAACTTGATGATGGCATAGTGGTCAAACTTGTTTCTCCTGGGGGCGCTCTTCCGAGGGTATTTGGGCTGCCTCCGGAGCCGCAGCGTCTTGGGACGGCGGAATGTGGGCGACATTCGTATCTTCTTTTTGTGGCTGTGGATGCCTTTCAGCACGGCCTTTTTGGCCTTCAAAGCTTTTGCTTTGGCTTCAGCTTTGGGAGGGGCAGGGGCTTCCTTCTTTGCCTTCGGCGCCATCTTGGTAAAAAACTAACTTTTTTAAAAAGTCTGTTTTACAAGGATATCTGGGTATCGGTGGCAGACCTGGAGTTTTTCAGTTTTTGCATGCCCTTCCAACACCAAACAAAAAATAAATTATTTCATGGCATACAGAAGGGACACAACTAAGTTAAAGTTGCCCTAGAAAAAGGAAAATGGAAAAGCACAAGGATAGTTGAAGATCCACAAAGATGAGTTTAGATTCTCCTGGCAGGAGCACCGGAGGCAGCTCCCCAGGCACAGAAATGGGATGAGACAGGAATCCAAGTAGGCGCAACTAGGTTGCCTAGTAACCTAGGTGACCACTGATTGGTGTCCTTCATTTTCCTTTAACAATAATTCTATAACTAAACATTTGCTTTATTTACCAAACTATAAGCACTAGGAGGGCAGGTCCTTGTCTATTTCACTCAGCACAGAGCAAGAACCCATTAAATATTTGCTGGCAAAAAGAATACACGGGGGTGCCCTGAGTTTGGCAAGAGGAAGAGGCATCCACAAACTGGAAACAAAGAATCCCACTGAGAGATTAGGACAAGCTCGGAAGTGGTATGTGAAATGACAAGACCGGAAGGGTGGAGTTGGGACTACGGGACAGCCGGAGGGAACAGCAGTGGCAAACCTGGGGAATGACAGGTCCCAGGAAGACTGAACTTCTAGAGGTTGGTTGAGAGGCGGGGCGGTTGAATCACGCATGCGTAAACTCAGCCTCCGTTTCCCCACCACCACCGCCTGCGTGCGCGTGCTCGTGAGGTCGGAGCGGAAATAGCGCCGCGGAGCCGCGCGTCCGGGAGACGAGCGGAAGTGGGTGTGAGGCCGGAAGTGGCCGGCTAGAGCCGGGGGCTGGGCGGGGACCAGGCTTGTCGGTGAGGCGGCAGTGGCGGCGGCGGCGGCTCGGCAGGAGGGTTCAGGCTTCGGGGGCCAGGTCGGTCAGGTGGTGGGTGTCTTCACAGTCAGTGCGTGCGCGGGCGAGCGCGCGTCTTCCCCTTCTCCCCACCCCGTTCCCTCTTCCCTTCTTCCCTAAACCTCCTACCCCACCCAGGCCCCTCCTCAGGGGGCAGCGGGCCGCTCCCTCCGTCCTTCCCTCCTCTGCCTACCCTCACCCGTCCTTGTTTCTCCTTCCCCTGCCCGGGGCAGCCGCCGCCATGATCCTGTTGGAGGTGAACAACCGCATCATCGAGGAGACGCTCGCGCTCAAGTTCGAGAACGCGGCTGCTGGGTGAGCGCGCGCCCGGGCTGGGGGCGGCGGGGGAGGCAGAGTTGGCCCTAGCCAGTCCCGGGTGTGACCCACCCCCTCCCCGGGGGAGAGAGATGAGGGGCCCGAGAAGTGTTAGGGACTCCTGTGGCGGGGTAGACGTGGGAGGTAGTTGTAGGGTGAGGGGCAGAGATGCGTGGGGAGAGGCTCCGAGACGGATACGGAAGCAGCGAGGGGACAGGAGCGTGCGTGCGAGAGGACCGGAGACCTGTGCGACGTGGGGGCAGCCGGGGCCGGAACTCGCGCTGAGGAAGCCCCTCACCTTCTGGGCCGACAGGGGGACCACTCCCCTCTGTATTCCCCGGCTCCGTTCCGAGCTCTTCTAGATAGGGTCGGAAGGACTTTTCAGGAATTCCCCGGATTGCCGGTAGGAAGAAGACAGCCTCAGATCACCCCTGACATTCTTGTTTCCCACCCCCACCTCTTCTAGAAGGAACAGGAGGCAAGACTGAAAGCACACCCAGTCTTCAAGACAAAAAAGCAATCTCTAGCTTCCTTTCCCTGAACCCTACTGCCAGAAACACTGGCCATCTTGTTAGATATATTTCTCAAGCAAAGCTAATAAACCCTCCATCCACACCCTTCCTTATCTCTTTTCAGTGACTCTATAGCTCCTCCACCCTTTAGCCTTCATCTGGATGCTTTATTTTAGATTTTTATACAAACGTCTAGTCTGTGATGGGGGGGCGGAGATACCAGTAATTGAACTCAGGACCTCACACTTGCCAAGCAGGTGCTGCACCGCCCCGATCTACCCCGGCCCTGTGGTTTGTTTGGCTTTTTTTTTTTAATGAAAATTCCGGCCCAGTTGCATACTTTAGCCACCAGAATCTGTGAAGGTCCTAGATAATCTTTTTAAATCTTGGCCTTTTCGAAGATAGGCTTGGGACATATTCCGAAGCAACTTTCCTGTAAAATATGCAAAGACAGCCTTCTTTGCCAAAGCTGCTTTGCCTTTCTAATATATTTAAAACGAGCGAAACAATTGTGTTTTAACTTCTAATTTTTGGCGGCCTGTGGTTAGTCCCTTTGCCTCATTTCCCCATCTGTGAGGATGGAGCTTCACATCTTGGTTTCACAGTTAGGAAATAAGTGCAAACTGCTTCTAGTCAACTGGGAACTAGAAATGCTTGGAGGTCTACAGAAGGGAGGTTGGTAGGAGGGAAGTTCTGAATGGTCATAATGATTTGTGACTTGCAGGCATTCAAAAAACAGTGTTAACCCATCACTGGAGTTGCATGTTTTATGTCCTGTTTTGTATAGGGTCACAGATTTTTATCTGTAAGGTAGAGCCTTTTTCTTGAAGTACTGCATGCAGTGGACAGAACTCTTTCCTGCCAGGACTGCAGTGCTTATATTTTAGTCTGACTTCTTGTCTTAGCCTCTCTTACCAATTTCTTTGCATTTTAATTATTCATGTGAAATGTCCCAGAGTCTTATTTTGGGTGATTGCTCTGTACTTTTTATTTTGGGTGATTGCTCTGTACCTTTTTTTTTTTTTTTTTTTTTTTTTGAGCAGTGTAGCACATAGGAGGAAGTTGAATTAACTTCTGCATTTTCACAACTGATGTTAATACATTCTCAAGCCCAGACTAGCAAAGAATGAGACCTTGGCTATAAGCTGATCTACAAGATAAATGGCTGTGTATTTTCAAGTAGAGGCATGCCTTTTTAACGTAGGAGTACTTTCTCATTTATTTGTGTTTTAATAACTTGTGATTCCAGAAATGTGGCACATTATTCAGAACTGTATTTAGTTCTGTATTTTTCTTTATAAAACTTTAAAAGAGCAGATAGCTCGGTAGGGAAATACCTGCCTGTGATACTGGCGCTCAGGCAGCTAAGACAGGAGAAGTGCTGGTTTTAAAGACAGCCTGGTCTATCTAACAAGACCTTGTTTCAACAAAAACAAAAACAAACGAAAAAAAAAAACTACTAACCGTTTCAGGGAGATTAAAGTAGAACCTCAAGTTTTAGAAGGCTTAAACTAGAATTTTCAGGACATTTTTTGCAAGATACTCTTGTGGGTTGAATTTGTTCTTACCCATCTCCCCTGTGAAATGTGACTTAATAAATGGGCTCAAAACATAATGTTGCACATAATAATAATTACTATTATTATTATATTTTGTCTTTTTGAGACAGGGTCTTGCAATGCAATTCAGGCTGGCCTTTTGTAACCTAGGCTGGTGGAACTCCCAAGGATCCTCCTGCCTCAGCCTCCTGAGTGCTGGGATTATAGGCTTGTGCCACCACACCCGCTGCAATTTATTTTGGAAAATCTTTCAAAAGAGACCGTGATATGGGGCCTAGTAAGAAGGGCTTTCCTGGGGTTGCAGTAATCCACCCAGCAGAAGTGTGATTCTGAGTTTAAGTGTTGCATTTCTGGGCATGGTACCACTAAGTTAAGGCAGCAGTGAAGTAGTTAAGTTTTGTTTATCAAGGCACATGCCTACACCAGAACTGCAGCAAGGATAACTGGTGTGAGCATCATAAACATCTGTGGGATTCTGCTGTGTTCAGCACCAGACAGCAGTAGAAAAAGGCCTGAGAGCCTGTTAGCAAAGTTAGGGAGGAGTTAAAAGAATTGCTGTGGTCGGGTGGAGATCAGACTGGAAAGGAAGGGAGTAGCTTGCAGGAGAAACCCTGGAGGTTTGAAAGGCTTTGACAATATGAGAGCCTGCTAGGAGAGGTCAGCTCCTCCCTGCTTTTTGCTCTTCTCAGAATAAACTGATTGGAGAAATTATAGTTCAGAGCAGCCTTTCCCAGAGTGCGTCTTCCACCGGCTACAGAGTGGCTAGTTAAATAAAAATTAAAGTGTAGTAAAATTAAAATTGAGTTGTCACACTAGTCTCACTTCTAGTGCTCCATTGCCACATGTGGTTCTTAGCTGCTGTGCTTGGATAATACAGATATAGAGTATTTCCATTATTACAGAACGCTCTGCTGAAAATGAAAGCATGAGATAGTCTCATTTTCTTTCTTTTTTTGAGGTGCTAAGGATGGAATCAGAGCCTTGGACATGCTAGGCAAGCACTTTACCACTCTGCTACATCCCAGCCCTCAGGAAATAATCTTGAAAGTAATTTGTGCTATATACTTAAGAATACATTTGCAAGGGTGGGGGAGGTAGCTCAGCTCCACAAGTGCCTGCCTGGCAAGTGCAAGGTCCTGAGTTTGATTCCCAGTACAAAAAAGAAAAGTTACTTAAAAAAATATGGTTGCATTAATTTTCCTTTTGAGGTTGATTTTTGTTTTAATGATGTCTCTCACATCAGCATGCTGGATTTTTGCCTATGACATCTTATTGAAAGTTTAAGCTTTTCTGAGTAAAGCTTTTTCCTACTGCACTCTTGAGAAGTGGCTTATTGTAGCCATCCAAAAGGGATAACTATTAGTAAATTGTCTTCCCAACAGCCTTCAAAGAGAGTGTAACTGATTAAAAAGCTATAACACTGAATATAACATGTACAGGACTTACCAGTAACACTGCCTTTTCCTTCAGGAATTCTTATGCAAACCCTCAAAGCAAAAGTAATGTGAAAATTAATTGAATTTTTTTGTTTTTTTTAACATATACACACCAAGAACCTTTTCAGCTTTGGAAGGAAAGCCTATCAACTTAGCTGGAGTCTGGAGTCCACAACTGAGGAAATGTTGTCAGGTGCAAATTGCTGTTAATTTTAAATGCCTGCTGGCTCCTCGCCACCGCCTGTGCATATTATGAGGAGCTGTAGTTATGTGAGGGGGAGTGAGCTCAGTAAATAAGCAGTGCCATTTGGGGTGGGCGAGAACTGTGGGAGGAGAAATTTGAAAAAGAAATAAACTAAATCTTGCTGATACCTTGTTCTCGTCCCCAAATATGTTGCATATGTCCTCAGAGAGACAGACTGGCTTGCAGTGATTCAGAACTAGGACATTGGTTAAGCATTGAGAAGTAGAATATAGTGGCTGACTTGCTAAGATCCAGTTGGTCTTTTTTTTTTTTTTTTTCAGAACCGGGGATTGAACTCAGGCCCTTGAGCTTGCCAGGGAAGTGCTTATTCTACTGAGCCATCTCCCTGGCCCCAAGTTGGTCTTTTTTACAGGGTGTTTTAGTTATACATTGCTGCCTGTCTTGGGACCTCTTTGGAAATGAAGCCCCAGACCCACAATAGATTAAACTGATGTTAGTGGAGCTCAGTCTATTAATTTCAGTGTTTTGCGTTCCAAAGAAGCTTATTAATTTTTTGACAGTGTGAGGCAGCTTTTAGACCTTTTTGTTCTCCATATTTTGAGATATGGCTGAGCAGAAAGACAGACTCCTCTTAGCCAATATGATCTACTTTGTAGGCTTTGCTCAGAAAGAATGATGGGAGCCTTACAGAAGATTTTAAGAGTGAAAACCTTTAGAGTGGGGGCTGGAGAGATGGCTCAGTGGTCTAAAGCACCTACTTAGAACAAGCTTGGCAAAGCACAGGGACCACGGTTTGATCCCCCCAGCACCACATGCCAGCCAGCCCCACCCCCAGGTGGGCTGAGCTAGCCACACACACAATAAATAAATGTAAAAAGAAAAAAAAAAAGAAAATACATTAAAAAAAAAAAAACCTTTAGAGTGAACAGAACTCTTAATTCCTCTAATTCAGAATGTAACAAAATGAATAACTAGAAGAGGGACACACATCCCGCAGTAGGGAGTTGGATCCTAGCGTATATTCAGGACAAACTCCAAAATTAGTTTAAAGAAAAAAGAAAAGGTTAGATAATACAGTTGCTGGAAGTCTTATTGACTGCTTGGTATTCCAGAAGCCTCCTTAGAAAAACTTTTTTTTCTAAGGGAATTTAACAATAGTCCTGAAATCCCATCTGAATGAATTGAATATGTTGCATTATCTTGAGATGTCTAACCTGTAACCTTGAGGAACAACCCTGACTTTTTCTACGATCCTAGGCATTACAGTAATCTGATGCTGGGGCTGGTGAGATGGCTCAGTGGTCTAAAGCACCTACTTAGAACAAGCTTAGCAAAGCACAGGGACCACGGTTCAATCCCCCAGCATGCCAGTCAGCTCCGCCCCTTGGTGGGCTGAGCTGGCCACACACACACACACACACACACACACACAAAGAAAAGTAGCCTAAAAAAAACCAAAAAACAAAAAAAGCCAAAAAACAATAATCTGATGCTGACAAGAGTCCTATTTCTTCTTGTACCACAACTAATTTTAAAAGCTACTACAATTTGCAAATCTGTCCCATTCACAATTTCAAAATCTGGTCTCCTCTAACTCCGTTAAAGAACAGAAAAATTAATTTCTTGGTCATTGTCTGTAAACCAGGCACAGTGCTACATGCTTAATCATGATTTCATTTGATTTCAAAATGAACCTGTGTGACAAATAGATCTTATTGACAAGTGAGAAAACATTGGGGACCATAGAGATTACTGGGGAGGGTGTTAACATTAAAGCTACCATGTGTCAAGGACATTGCTAGGCTTCTGTCACTGTGATTGCAGCCTCTTTTATCACATAGTACAAACAAAACACAACCATATTTTCGTATTTGTCACTTTTGGTTGCATGGTCCAGCCTAAAGATCATGTCATGACTGCTTTGTGTGTGTGTGTGTGTGTGTGTGTGTCCGTCCGTCCGTCCGTCCATCCATCCATCCATCTATCTGTCCGTCCATCCGTGTCTGTGCCTGTGTGTGTCATTATCTCAATATATGTGTAATTTAGTCATGATATACTGCTTGGAAAACTTTGCTTTATGTACATCATATCAGGCTTCATGACAGCCTTGTGGAGTGTGTGTTTTATTCCCATTTTACAGAGTGGAATGTGAAGCTCCACCACAGTTGAGTAACACACATCACTCTGGGTCTATTTATTTGTTTTCACCCTGGGTCTTTAAACTCTGAAAGATTTGCTTTTACTGTAATTATACTCCCTAGAACTGAAATTCTAACAAATTGTAGAAGAGTAAATAAGTTGATCTGTTTGGCCTATTAAATGTAGTATTTTCCCTCTGGAACAGTCTTGCCATGATTTAAAACCTCGGAAGTACAATAACACCTAGTTTACCAGAACTGACATATTGAGAGATAATCCTAGTAATGTTATTTCACACTTCACAGTATCCCTGTTGGAGTATAAAGTTCTCTAACTCCCAGAGGACTTCTCATAGTTTGCTTTGGCCTAATGCTCTCCTTAGCAGCCTTTCTCCTCTGAATCTTTTGTGCAGCCATGACTAGTAATCTAAAATATTACTGACAGTATTTTTGACAGATATTCATAAGTTAGGCAGTAAGCCACATAGAATCAATCTCAGTGACTTTTCCTGGTGAAGATCTCTGCTCAGGCTACTTTATGCCTCAAAGTTGAAAGTTTGGAATCAGATGTTTATATCTTGGAACCCTAAGGTTCTTTATTTGTAGTTGATTTTTCTCAGATGTGATAAAGTGAGAGAGTGAGAAACTCAGCTCTTCCTTAACTGAATTAAGCCTAAAAGTTAAAGGAAAAAAAAAATGTAGCTACCTGGGAAGTGGTGCGATGTAGACTTTTATTTTTATTTTTATTTTTTTATTTTTTTGGCAGAACCGGGCATTGAACTCAGGCATAAGTGCTTATTCTACTGAGCCATCTCCCTGGCCCCATTGTAGACTTTTATAAACTGACTTCACAGCTAGCCTTGCCTTGGTCATCCTTAGTATTTCATGCAAACAGGCCATACATTACTAGAAACAAGAGTTTTCTAGAGGTGTGGAATGGTTGTTGGCCTTTGTTTGTTTATTTATTTATTGTCTTTGAGACAGGGTCTCAGTATGCAGCTCAGGATAGCCTTGAGCTCACTTGTAGCTCATGCTGTTCTCGAACTTGGAATGCTCCTCTTGCCGTGGCCTACCCTGAGTGCTGGAATTATATGTGTATACCACCACACCTGGCTTGTTGACCTTTATTTCCTTGGTTTTCTGGCTATAGTTCCCAGAAGCAATTTTTTTTTTTTTTTTTTGCGGAACCAGGGATTGAACTCAGGCCCTTGCACTTGCCAGGGAAGCACTTATTCCACTGAGCCATCTCCCCAGCCCCTTCAGAAGCAATTTAAAATTTCATCTAGGTCTACGTATTTGTTGTGTCTGATTTCCCCATAAGACCACTTGATAGTTCCATTTGTAGAAATAGACACCCAGCATGCACTTTGTAAGTCACATATGGATGACTTTGGGGCTGGCCAAAATTGCTCAGTGGATTAAAGCACCTGCAAGCAGATGCAGGGGCCAGAGTTCAATCCCCAGGCCTGTCATGCTGCCCCCACCGCCGCCCCCACCTCCAGGACGCACTGAGACAGCAATTGAGACTGGGTGTGGTAGCACATGCCTGTAATCCCAGCTCTTGGGAGGCTGTAAACAGGTGGATCACTACGAGTCCGATCTTGTAGTGAGACCCTGAAACCCTGTATACCCTTCCCTAAAATACAGTAGAGAGAGAAAAAAAAAAAAAAAAAAAAGACAGATGACTTCGAAGGAGTGAGTAGAACTTTGTGATTCATATAGGTCATTTTGTTTTGTTTTCTAGTAGAACTAACGTATGCTTAGGAGAGACTAGTTTCCTTGAAGGATATTGCTTTGCTTCTGCATCAGCTTTTTAACAGTCATAAACATATTAATGTTCCATTATTTCCAAGCAACCCTGCTCACAGTTGAAGCAGCAGAGAGAACATACTCGTAAAAGATAGGTAGTTAGGACTTGAGCAAGTTGGATAGAAATAAATGTGGAAATGTGTACCTCTTGTCTGCTAGCCCATAAAACAAAGTAGGATCATTTGAGTTATATGTAGCTAGCTGCTAAAGTAATAAAGTGTTCATTTGTTTACTGCCCTTGGCCTTGAAAAGGAGAAAAGAGAGGTAGGTAAAGTGGCTTTTCATTGGGAGTTTAATTGACCATCATTATTTATAGCATAGGACTTCTGTCATGCTTTCTAGGTACTAACTCAGCAGCAACCAGGCATGGTGGTGCATGCCTATAATCCCAGCATTTGGGAGGCTGAGGCAGGAGGATCACTGCAAGTTCAAGGCAGCCTGAACTTAAGAACCTCCAAAAAAGAAGTGCATGCACCAGGTTAAGCCAGTAATTGCCTAGAAAATATCAGGCATCATTGCTTCCCAGAAGTTCTGTCAGGTCTATTTTCTTGTTTTATTTATAGCAGTTTTATGAGGTTTATAGGATCATCAGAATTGTCCCATTTTATGGATAAAAAGATGAGAAAAATGAAGGTATAAGGTTGTTAAATTTCTCTTGAAACATAAGCCTATTGAGAAGGCTAAAATTAAAAAACAAGTGTCCTGAACATTGTCAGTGATTTTACAGTGTTATTTTCTGCTACACTGTCTCTGTAAGTACTGAGCTGGGATTTCAAAATAAAACTAAGGTAGAGCCAAAGAAGCTTCTTGGAGGAAGAGTAAGTGCTTTAGAAGTGTAAGGAACAGCGAAAGCTGTGTAGGAAAGACCTGGAGATAGTCTTTGAAATAGAACAGAACTTGCTGCTTCGTTTATAGCCCAAAGTATCCTTTCACTTAGGCAAATTAAAAACACTCTACATTATACCTGGGCGTTTTCCTTTGGCTAATGTGTTATTTTCATCTCTACTGTCCTGCAAAGGATTCATTGACAAAAGAGAATGTTTTGTGATTCGCATATACTGTATTCTCTGGGAATTCAGAATTGAAAGTGAGCAGTGACCATGGCATGAAATTTATCAGAAGGTGAAAATCAAAAGTCTTGAGTATTTCTCTTTGAGCAAATCCAAAGGTTCAGGCATATGAAAAAATGAATTGTGTATTCTCTTCAGCAGTGAGCCTAGGGTTTATGGAAAATAGGTTGTCTTAAATAAAGCAGTCCCTTGAGGACAAGCAGCAATACAGTTTTCTTAACTAAGGACCTTTTTTGTTTGTTTCACAGAAACAAACCGGAAGCAGTAGAAGTGACATTTGCAGGTAAGTGTCTTTATCTCAGTCCTATTCAGAGAAGCTATAGCAAACAAAATCCAAAATAAAACTTTGTTTTTAGTTTATTAGTACATGTAGGTAACACATGTTTACATGCTTTGTGTGATGTACATGTATGTAACATATCTTGTTTCCTTTTGGAAAATGCTTTTGATTAAGTCTGTTGAGGTCTTAGATGACCATTTCGTGTATTCATTCCATTGACACCTGGCTTTGAGTTTGTTCAAGTGTGTAACTTCTGGGGAATTTTTTTGTTGTACAAAGTAAGGTCTTTTAGGGGTCGGGGAAACAGCTCAGTAGAAGGGCCTGAGTTCAATCCCCAATTACGCCAAAAAAAAAAGAACAAAGTAAGGTCTTTTTACTGTGGAAATACTGTAGTATTGTCCAGTGGCCATCATCTTATTGTAGTAGGAAAACATGAACATGCTATAGCCCTGTTCAAGTCAGAGAGGTTAGGTCCACCCCTAGCCCAGGCCCGGGGAGTGTGTGGGAGAGCTTTCAGCTACCTTGCACCAGCAGGACCTCTCCGGTTGAAGCCCAGGTGCAGTGCTGGTGAGACCCTCTTCCACCCCCTTAGGATCCCCACCACCACTCCGCAGTCACCCCCATTCCCACCCAGTGAGTGAAAACTTCTGCTGCGTTCTCAGGACCCCCAGATCCAGCCCTAGCCCAGGCCCAGTGAGTGTGTGGCAGAACTTCCTCTCCCCCATACTCCACCTTGTCCCCTTCAGACTCAGCTCAGGCCTGACATACAGGCCTGGGGTGAAACTTTGCAGCTGTAGTCCTTGCAGAGAGAGTAGGGGACAGAACCACCCAGCTAGTCCAGGAGCAGAACATCTTGCCATAGGGGCACAACAGGTTCACTCCCAAGGGCGGCAATAGGAAGGAGCTGAGCACAGCAACAAGACCCAAGCCAGGCACAGCTGGATAAATTCAAACTTTGTAGATCTGCATGTGAATTTTAGTAGGTGCTAAGGTTATAACTACACCAAAGCTCTACAACAAAGGTCAGAAGACAGTACTACACAAAATGACAATGAGAAGGAGCAAAATGCAATCTCAGACCCCAAGCCCACCTATAACAAGTGCAGAGGACACTAACACAGAACAAATTGGGAATCACACAGCTGAAATCAGTGAATCAGCAGCTTCTGAAATAAAGAAACAGCTGCAGAAAGGTATAAAGGAACTCAGATTGGAAATGACAAGTCAGAGAGGTTTTTTATATTATCTATTTCCTGTAAAGATTTGGGTATTGGTAAAACTCACGTATTATGTTGGATTATATAGCCACCCTTCATGAAATGCAACACCTTAAATGACCCTAGAAAACTTCTGCAGCTCTAAAGTACCATTTAACTATCCCTGTCCCCTCCTAAAAACTAGCAGTGTCACATTTCCTTTCCAGATCCCTATATGATGTCACTCAGCAACAAGCTTGAGAAAGTACATAGACTGAGTCAGTTAGCTGTGTCAGGACGGGAAGAAAAAGCCCCAAAGGGGAGAGGCATATAGGTTAGACAACACTTAAAAGATAATTATATGCAGGTGTGGAGATAGCTCAGTGGTCTAAGCGCCTGCCTAGGCAAGCGCAAGGACCCATGTTCGATCCCTGGTACCACATGCCAAGCCAGCCACCAAGCCCAGGCATGGTGGCGCATGCCTATAATCCCAGCACTGGGGAGGCTGAAACAGAAGGGTCACTGTGAGTCTGAGCTGCATAGTGAGACCCTGTACCAAATACATAAAATAATTTTTTTTTTTTTAAAGGTAACTATATGCAGCCAGCTGTGGTGGTGTGCTCTTGTAATCCCAGCATTCAGGAGGCTTACACAGAGGGAATCACCACAGGTTTTAGGCCAGCCTAGTCTATGTAGTGAATTAACGGCCAGCCTGACTATATAGCAAAACTCTTGTCTAAATAAATAAATGAATAACCGTATGCTGTGCACAGATCTTGTTTGGATCCTAATTCCAGTGAGATAATGTAGACAGAAATTTTGAGAGAATAGAGAGTATTTGAACAGTTGACTGAGTGTGTGATATTAAGGAATTGTTTTTAGAATTAGGCATGACAATAGTGTTGAGGTTATGTGTGCTAAAAACAATCTTCTTGAGCCAAACATGGTAGTACATGCCCATGACATACATGACTTTCTTTATTTCCTATGAATTAAATGGGTGAAGTCCTAGGGGTTGCTTCAAAATTAATCATTAGAGCCAGGCATGATCATGCATGCCTATAAACCCAGCACACGTGAGGCTAAGGCAGGAACATCACTGTAAGTTCAAGGCCATCCGAGACTGCATAGTAAGTTCAAAGCCAATCTGACCTGCATAGTGAAGCTCTATTGATTAAAGAAAACCTCTTTTATCAAAAAGACCCCCCCCCCAAAAAAAAAAAAAAACCACTGGGAAAGGGGTGTAAGTAAAACACTACTGGACACATGTTGGTAATTGTTGAAACCACATCATAAGTTTTTTATACTGTTTTTCCTACTTTCATGCATGTTTAAATGTATTGTAGTAAAAGTTTTTAAGGTTGATTCACTACTGTGCTATGGTTAAGGTAAAAACAGCTTTTAACAGCAGAAAAGACCAGAGAGATGGGTGCTGAGCAGTTTTACCCTATCGCTTTGATGGACTTCCCATATGGATTTGAAATAAATGTCATTTTACTTACATGCTTTCTTACCAGAGGTCTTTGTGGTCCACTCTAAGGTGGGTACTTAGATTATTCTCTGTTCCCAGGATAAGCAATCTTGTTTGCATTCCTCACAGATTTTGATGGGGTCCTCTATCATATTTCAAATCCTAATGGAGACAAAACAAAAGTGATGGTCAGTATTTCTCTGAAATTCTACAAGGAACTTCAGGCACATGGTGCTGATGAGGTAAGCACCATTTATTTTCATTGGGACTGCTTTCTTCCTCACCTTTTGTCGGCAGCTTGCCAGGCATTGAAAATTCATGGTGTAAATCTCTTCCACCCAAAGACACTGGCCATGTAGCACAGCCTGCTTATAAAACCAGAGGCCCTTGACCTCGTTGCTTATAGTAATGCAGAGAAATGTGCTTCCCAGAAAAGGCGTTAGCCCTTGGCTTGCTTGCTTTTTGGCTTGAATAAATAAAGATGTGTTTTAACTAAAGTTTAATAACTGTCAATATTTTAAAAGAAATTTGTCTTTTTCAAATTACATAGGCTACTAGAATATTTTTTATAAATAATAAAAAGAAATTTCATCTGTTTAAAAACAGAGCAAAGAATACTTTGTTGACCAGTACAAAAATAGTGGCTCTTATAAGAATGAGACAGGTTCCATTCTATTTTTGTATCATTGTGGAGGAAGGTATGTAACTTATGACTTGCTGAAACTTTATCTTAGTTTCTTTCTCAATGTGTAAGTTTAGGCATAAATAATTTCCTTTTAAGTTTTTTTAAGTTACTGCCCTTAGGAGTTGGCCTCTTTAAATATCTCTTCCTTCTAACTACCTTAGGGGAAAATGAAAACGAATGTCTGGGTCTTGTAAGGGGCCTTGTAAGATTCTTGAAGGCCATCTCTTTGCACTGGCTTCTTTGGATAGCTAAAGCAGCAGGTTTGGTTCCTGTTGAACTATATTTGCTCTGGAGAGGGCCATTTATGGAAAAACGAAAATGCTATTACACCAGTACGTGTACGTTGTGGTTGGGTCTCAAAGCAGGAAGTATGACTCAGTTCCTGAATCAGTTTTCAAATATCTTGGTTTTAACAAACTAAGCTCTCCTTAATCTGTTCAATGATGATACAGCCTTTATTTTTTTCTACAAAACATAGTAACTTTTGTACAGTTTTACAATTACATGATGAAAGTCTGTTGGTAAAGGAATATGAACAAAAGCTTGATAATATTTATTTCTAAAAACTAAAATTGATCAGAACAAAACACCAAAAGCCAGGTTCTTTTTTTTTTTTTTTTTTTT